TTTGTGTTAATAAAGAGTGAAGGGTCCAGAGATTCAGGGAACTTGGTTAACTGAAGCTAGGTCTCCTCTGGCTCCCAAAGGTATTCCAAATTTATATTTCATGTCTAGCCTCTTTATTAATTTACTCACAGTCCTTCTCCAGATTCCTGAACCCTTCTAGATGCTGAGAAAGACCCCTGCAAAGATACAATTCCAAGCAAGAAACCTCTCTAATTTTGTGAGGAACTTCATAAACCCAACTGTGGCCAGCAAACCAATGGGAAATGAAGTAGGAGGAAAATCTTACTGTCCCAACAATCCCTTCAGGGCCCTAATCTGGAACAAAACTCTTCAATAGAGAAATTGAACAGTTAAGGTCACAATTCTAGCTGCATGCAATTCTGCAAGGTTAATGTTGACAAAAGCTCAGTTAGATGAACATATTGACGTTCCTTTGTCAAGACTTGCTAGACGGGAAATCAGAGTGCGGCAAATTATATTCTAGAAAATGAGAGTGTGAGTGCCAAGTGCCAAACTGAGAAAGCAAATAGGACTTGGTCAACACCTAGCAGCATCACTAGCTCACTGCTTTCTCCACAACTTCTAACAAGTCCTCCTTTCTACGTCTAGAAAAAGTATTCCGAAGGAGAAGGAGGAGGAGGAGAAGAACAATAAAGCCTTTTGCAGCAAGAAGAAGAAAGAGGGGGAGGAGGAAAAAGAGGGGGAGGAGGAGGAAGAGGAGGAGGAGGAGAAGGAGAAAGAGCTGTATTAATGCTTAAGAAAAAGTTTAGGTATTTGAATGAAAGAAGGCTATATACCATTCATATAATATGTGGAGTTTTTTCTTTATTTCTACAAAAATAAAAATTCCCCAAGCTGAAATCCTATGAGATTCTGCTTTTCTTAAGGCTCAGCTGTGGTTCTTAAAATCCATTTTTTAAAATCCAAGTACTGAATTTATTTTTTCATCTTTTGCATGAGAAATATTTTTATTTCTATTGTCCAATGTCTAACAAAGATGGCTCTCTACACAGAGTTACTATGATTGACTAGATAGATATAGGAAAGTAAAAAATAGTCTACACCTTTATTTTCCTATTGCCTGATCCTCAACTTAAGAAAAACCCAATCGCTATATTGGCTTCCAGTGGCTTTTTGGATAGCCTCACCTCCCTACAGTTCTAAAATTAAATTCTCACCCTTGGAATGGGATGATGCACAAAGCCAGCTGAGTCTAGTCTTGGGTCCCAAGGAAGAAGCTAACAGAACCTAAATTTTTTTTTTAAATGATCAAGATCCTCTTGAAAATATGGTAGCTAATGCCTAATTAAGAAAATAACTACAAATAGAAGTTTACCTTTATGCCCTTAATTAGGCAATGTACAGGATTTTAAGGAGTGTTTGCCATTAAGTACAGTCTTTTTACTTTTATTCACATCAATATTAATATTTCCTGAGCAAGATTAAATTGGGTTAAGGTCAATATTTTATTTTAATGTTGTTAAGTGATTTGCTCATTCATCAAATGAGTTTATCGCATGTGCCAAGCAGTGCTCAGGTGTTTAAGTTAGACCAGTGAGCCCCACCGGCATAGTTCAGTGTCACATGCCTGGGTTGCAAGCTCAATCCCCAATATGGGGTGTGCAGGAGGCAGCCAACTGATGATTCTCTCTCATCATTGATGTTTCTATCTGCTGGGGTCCAACCCCAGCAGGTCCAGGGGTCCCCAAAGGTGTGGACGGAGTC